ATTGCCATGGGTACTCAGCCACTATCCAAACCTATTATCATTGACAGTATGTCGTTACAAGGAATTAATACAGGAATTATGGGAAGACATTAATTTTTATAAAAAATATGGATTACAAAGCACTTTTTACCATCAATTTGTTATCAAAAGGCTTGTAGGAACCCCATGCCTGCAAAGGACTTCATTGACATAAGAGCAATTGTTTCGCATGACTGCTTTCAAATAGCCATTAAGAAATTAAGGCCTCACTCACACTTTTGAGAAGAATAAAAGTAAAAACAAAGCTAAAATTAACTGTATTTTGAAGGAAGAACTCTAACAATTCTGTTATTTTTTCCCACAGGAACATGTGTAATGATGGCCATAAGGAGGTGTTCAGTAGTTTGATGCTGAAGAGCTGAGGAAAATAAATTTGAGGAGGAGGAAAAATGAAAACTGTTAGTGAACTCGTTTCAAAATATACATAAAAGTAACTACTCTGCTTTTAGGTTTTTATGAAAAGCAAGAGACAAGCATGTTTTGAAACGCTGGAGATCCTGTCTCTCAGTAACCTGTGCCAGTCTGTATTTAGTTTATTCCTGCTAGGCAACAAAACCCAAGTTCTCCATTCCATCCTACAGTACCTGCTTCAGTTAATATTGATACTGACTTTCAAAATTATAAACAGTTCCACTGACTTTAAGAAGTGCCATATCTTGGCAGACTGGATGAGTAGGATGTATATTTCATTGTAGGCTTTAGGAAGTCTGCAAAGGGACCAAATGCTGCTTATCATTTGTTGTGGTTTTGTTCTCAGGATGAAAGTCCTCCTTCTGAGGGCAGACTGTAAGGTTTCCGAGGTTGTGTCTGCAGCTCTGCAGATGCCCTTAGATCTCAGAAGCTGAACTGCACTCAGCAGCAAATTGAAGAACAAGGCTGTTTTATCCACACTCTAAGGAACGAAAACCTGGGCACAGCTCCATTTAGTTCCCTCCTTTCATTTTTATCTTTTCAAAATAAAGAGATAAGGGAAATAACAGAGCCAGGATGGTGATAGCCAGCTCCAAGTACAAATAAATCAGCACTCTTGTTTTAAAGGTTCTGAGTTGCACCAAGACTTAGAAATGCATGATAATCAAAAACTGGAGGAGAAAGGTGAGGCTTGGCTGACAAAAAATAGGGAAAAGAAGAATCTATAAGTGTTTTCTAGATATTCTGGGCTGTTACATGTTGATGCTACTTTACTCCTTCAGTGGAATGATACCAAGTCAGAGCAGTACAGCACCTGGCACTACTGTTCAGTTTAAACTTGGAAAAAGGAAGGCTTGCTTTGCCTGTTACTAAATAACGTTTCCTCTGGGCTGAAGCACAGCAGTTGTTTAACAGCTTACACTATTTAGCAACTGTTGTCAAACAATAAAAAATATTTCATCCAAACAAAATGAAAAAAAGACTTTTAGACAGCAAAGTGGAGTCATTCGCAGTGGAAACTGGCAAGTGTCCTGCAGCTAAACCTTCTGTTAATGAGAAGTCCAAGGAACCTTCCTGGCATGCTTGAACCTCATTTCATAGTAGCGGTCACCCCAAAAAGTATGGAATTCTTTCTAAACTCAAACATATACTCACCAATTATTCTTTTCTTCCAATTATTTTCTGTGGGGAAAATTAAAGAAAGCATACATTTTTGATGTCCCAATTTAAACCACAGCTTGTTATAACAAGGATTTATGTAGGTCCTGGTTTGCCAAATTTAGTTAAGCTATAGACTACTTGTCTGAGCAGGTAACTTCTCACTTTTGATGAGCAGAAAAGAGGTATTCTTTGTACACCAGCAACTGAAAATCTCTCAGAGTGTATTTGTTTTCCTCTTGTGAAGAGCAGCTTTGTTTATGACTCAGGGCTAAACTATTCAGGAAGTCAGAAAACAGAACTTTCGAGCATGCATTTGCAACACTCTAGTCCTAACCTGTTGGCCTTGATTTTACTGGGACTAATGACATAGTGACAAAGTGTAACATACCACCCTTGAGTAACCAGGGTGTTTTAATAAGATCATGGATGCTCCAGATCCAAGACTGTCATTGTAAAAAGGCTCTCCAAGCTGGGCCCTCTTGTTTCTAACTTCCACTATCCTCAATTCAAAGGCTAAGAGGTCCGCCAGCTTGTCTTGTTGCCCTTGGGATACACTGAACTCCTGAACCCTGACACAGTTGCAGAAACAATGTCCTTTTTGAGCTTCACTTTCACCACATAAAAATTCAGATAAGCCCAAATGTTTTTAGTTTCAGCAGCATTTTAGATTTTACACAGTCCAGAAGAATTTTCTGCTGCATAAAGAGTGAAAGAATGGTAATTCATAAATCCAGCACATACACACACACGTTTTCAGCATGGAGGCCTGGGTATGACCTTGCCCATAACATATAATGCAAACCATCTAAATATCTACGTCTTTTTCTCCAGAAGGATTTAGAAACTACAGCTCTGTTCAAACCTTGGAAATAAACAGTCTGAAACAACAACAGCAGCACCTTTATTCAACTGATCAGACTGATTTACTGCTTCTCTCTAAGGCATTTATCAGACTACAGTATGTGCCAAAGGCAAAGCTCTGTCCTGAAGCTAACGGAAGACTGGGGTAGTGGGACCAAGTCATATCAATTCTGTAGTCCCTGGAAAGTGGTGATGGGGCTGTCTTTGCATCTTTAGTTATGGCATATTAGGTTTACCTTCCTTTTCTGCTAAGAAATAGGTGTAATTTATTGCACATTATGAAAAGGCAGGTTTTCAAAATAAACAGAAAATTTATATGTGTACAAATCAGTAATAGAAAAGCCATATGCTCCACCAGTAACTTCAGATGATGCCTTCTATCTTTTGACATGGAAACAACAGAATGATTCTCTCCTTCCTGTTCTTAATATAAGATTTCTAAATTCCTCTAGTCATCACATGACAGTGGAGCCACTTACCAAAACTTAGTTGCTTTGAAAGGTGTGTCAAAACTGAAGAACGACGACACAGCAGCATCTTTGGACAAAAGAACTGTGAAATTCAATGCAAAATCCTTTAATTATAGAAGGCTACATCCCATCCCCATATGCCCACATACTGCTCTTACTAGCATCAATAAGAGCTGTGGATATACATTCAAGGATAACTTTTGGTCCTCAGACATGACTTAGTAAAATATTTTGTGTTGAATAAAAAGAAAGTCTGTACTTACAAACTAAAATTATCAGGAGCAAAGTGGCAGACAGTCCTCCCAGAAAATATCTGAGAACATAACAATACCCATCAAGGTTAGAAAAAAACAAGGGATGCATATTGGGTTAATAGAGGTGAAGCCTGGATGGGAGGAGGAGAGAAGGTTCTTGTTGATGAACCCTCTGAACTCTGGTAGATGGACTACAATGTAAGACTTTAAATTACGTAAGCTTTTGAGGATAATGTCCTAGAAGGAAAGACATCAGCATTCCCAGACTGAAATACCCATACTGGTCACCTAAAAAGACACACATAGATCCATTCTGATTCTTCTCAGCCTTTCAAAACCCCTGGTCCAAGCACACTTGACAAAGTAGTTTCCATGTCTGCGTACATATTTCTTATTTTTGTGCATACCTGTATAGCTGAGATTTTTTGCCTGCACCAACTATAATGTGAAAATACATTTTCATAATAAGATATATCTAACTTTGAAAATGTGGCCCCATAAATAAATGATTTATCATTTATCCAACAGTTGAAATGCAATAAGCATTCATATCAGGAACAAAAGAAATAGAAGTTACCTTGTACATATTGAAATGATTAAACACGTGATCAATGCAACCATCTGAGACAGGACACTTTGCACTGTCCTGGATTCTAAAACAAAAGCCAGGAAAATAAACCTCATGAGTTTTCACGAAAGTAAATGTATGACAGGAGGTGTCTGCAAAGACCTTCAGCCTGTGAGGCCAGTCTCTTCGGTTTCAAGAGAATTCGCCTACAGCGATTCAAAGCAGAAACCTAATTTTCATGCTCTGGGTGTCTCTCAAGAGTCTTTTTCCCCCACAGCCATAGAGACACTGAGCCCTGCACACTCTCAGAAAACAAGACTTCCTGAATAATTGCCTTTTTCAGTTGTTGTTCCCATGCCCTTTCCTCCATTTTCCTCTTCAGCCCCCTTTTCCATTTATCACTGAAAATAGGAGAGGAAAAGATGTGGGCAGAGGGCGATAAACAGTAAATGCCAATTTGTTTTAATCAGTCATTTTAAATGTATGTTTCAGGAAATAAATTCTATTCTGCAAGGGGGGGGGCATGTCAACATTTTTAATGCATTTATAGTTCACTCTAAAAATAAGACATATCAGAATAAGAAGGTAACACACCTGTGTTGCTCCAAGTCTCTTCATTTGCATTTATCATAAATGGAGAGATAGATTTTGATACACAAGATGGTTTCTCAGGCTGAAGAAACTTGTCATCTTTGCTGAGAGAGACTCTGTTAGGTGCTGGAGCTTGTTTTTGTGCCACATGGTTGTCATAGCTGTTATATTCAGAAGAAACATTTGAATCACCTACAAAAAGTGTAAATATAACTGAGACAAAGAGCTTTGAGACTTGTGTTAATGAATTGGTTTGGGGAGGTTAATTATTTAAACACAGAGAGGTTTCCAAATTGTTAAGGGTTAGGAATTGGATGGTTCAGTGTATGCAGGTGAAAATATGGAGAGTAAAGACAAAACTGAATAAACCATCATATATTAATGACACCAGTATAAACATCACTGGTGATTACTTTGGATTCAAATTCAGTCTAAAAATGTTGTTTTGGTATCAAGGTCTTTGTGGACTCATACTCTTTCAATGCCAGGAGCTTAATTCACCACTGTCTTTCTGTCTTTCATCTAAGCTTTACCTGCACAACTTGGTCAACAACCCCTGCAAAACCTATAGAAAGATTCCCAAGTCCCACTAAATATAGACTGTAAGGTTGTGGCTTGATTACTTGGTGCCTGGTCAGGGCTTACCAACATCACTCTGACTGGCTTCTAGTTCATTGCATTCACCAGGCCAAGGATCATCTACATGGGAGGAATCCATTTTGCTGGGGACGGTGCTGCTGAGCCAAGAAGTGGAGGCATTGAGACTGAACAAGCTGGCAAGAGAGCGACGGATTTTCTTCCTTCGCCTGAATACACTAGAAAGAAAAGACACATTGTCAAGGAACAGAGTTAATCATTCTTGTTGAGCAGGGACAGAGCTCTAAAGCTTGCAGGGTTGACATGGAGGAACCATGTTCTGAGTGCTGTTCTTGACCCTGGGTATGTCACCAAGAATGACTGCTGCACAATGCAGTAATGCTAGGGGATGTATTAACAGCAATATATGGCAATATATCATGATGTTGTGATACTGGATATTGCGATAAAAATGATACTACAGTTATTGGGCTCTGAACTTTTAGAAGTGATCTCCCACTACCCCTAACTTTCACCCTATTATAACCCTTTTGGTGCAGCCCAAATCCATTGTACTTCAACTTTAGATACTTTCCTAAACTGATGTTCTGAAATCAAGAGAGATTTTTCCATGAGGAAGAATTTCAGGACCAGACCTTTTTATTTTTTTGTATATATATACACATATCTACTTTTTTCCTTATTCCTTATCATTGTAACACCTCATTGGCAAAACAAGCTGTAGCTTTCCCTTTTCCTTATTGGACACAACTCCAGTTACAGCAACAACTGTGTACTGAAGAGTTTTTGGATAGTAAGATCAGAAATGACTGAAAAGCTATTTCAGTCACTGCACTCTCTAAACTAAATTGAGATGTTTCCATTAAGAAGCAATGCTGATATTATGTCAACCAAAGTATAGAAAGTCACACAGATACCTCTAGGTAAGTACAGAGATGTGGAGGCAATTGCCAACATTGAGTAAAACTGCATACAGTTCACTTACCGAACTAAATTCTCTTTGTATGTAACACTTGTCTGGGATGGTGTCAATGTTATGTTGCCCTCTTCATCAGACAGAAAACTGTCTTCTGTCCAAATGTAATACCCATTAGAAAGCAGTCGAGGGCTGCGGCGACATATGGAAAGGGATCCTGGTGGAGCATTTGTGGAATGATATTCATAAGCAGGGTCATCGTCCAAAAAGGCACAAGCATAACTGAAAAGGAGAAATAAACTCTCTAATTTAGTGAATGTCTAGACAGACCAAACCCATGATTTAATAGCTATGAATTTACATTACCAACTGATGGGGCTGGTAATGACGCAGATTTAGAATATGTGGCTATAATGATATTACTTTTGGACCCAGGGAGTTTCAGACAGCTAGAGTGTGCCTGCATCACACTTTCCAGAGCTTCAAATGACTGGAGGGCTTCATGCCAGTTGTAGCGTTTCACATGAGCATGGAGCCAGCTTGAATGCAGATGTGCATGATGCATTTCTGTGGCGGTGCTCTTGGCCAAGGACTCCTGCCAGATGCACACCTACCTGGCGTCGACGGAGGTATTCCAGTATTTTCCTTCTCTGAGTTACTCTGCATGGAACAAGCCTGAGTGTCTCCAAACCAGGAAGGATTTATTTGCTTTTTATAACCTAACCTAATGAAGACTTAAAGATACATGACTTCATTCTCAAAAACCTAGAATACCACGCAGCTAGAACAACATGGGATAAAGTCTACCCATGGTGATAACTTCATCCAGCACTGAAATACAATTGACTTTGAGATGAAATATATCACAGAAAAATATACTATGTGGTATTTAAAATAGAAGTGAATAGTGACAAAGGTGAAAGAATCTAAATGCTGTGGACATTTTATTTAGCTCAAGAAAACTGAATTTATGGTTAGGGTTAGTCCTTTCTCCTCAACACCTTTGAGTTCCAAGGGGCCATGCAGTGACATCCATGGAAAGAAAGACACTGGATAGATTCAGTGGCTGACATGGGTTTCAGTAGCATGTTTCACTATCCCATATGGCATGTTGCTGAGGGATACCATAATTTCAGTGGAGGGAAAAGCAGGTGGAACAGAAATACTCCAAAACCTTGTAATTGCAAAGCCAGTGCTTCCAGTCTCCACAGCAGTAGTTGTGAACTTTCATTTTAAGCAGTAATTAAATTAACACGAGCACTACAATTCTGAGTGCCCCCAAAGGGATTTTACAAAATCTCCAATGAAATGAAAATGAAATTAAACAAGTAAAATTGTCCTAAATACCTTGGAAAAACACGTTGTGAGAGGCTGTGTCTATGTTCTCCATTAAACTCTGTTGAACCTGTAGAGGCAAAGGGCAAATAAGAAGGAGTGTTTATCATATCTACTGACAGCTTAAACAGTTGACAGGTCTTCACTGACAGGTACCTTGTGCATATAAAAAGAGATCATAATAGAAGCTAATAAAAGAAAAGGGAAAGATTAAAGGAGATAAAACAGGTGAAAGAGTTGTGGAAAAACACAGTGTTTGTAGGAAACTCATCTTGATGAAAAATCAGAATCAATCTTAATCAGATACGTGTACTCTGCACAGCTCACAACCTTCTTGAGAGAAATAATTATGGCCACAAACACAATAGCTGCAGTAATTTTAATGGTGTTAGGGTCAAAACCAGAACATGTACTGACAACAGATACAGAGTAGAATAAACGGACCACCATAACCATTGCAATATATTTTTCAGATTAAAATGGCAGGCATTGGACAACACGCACTGGAATAAAAACAGTGACACAGGTTGATAATAATATTGTGACAGGAGACTCCGGAAATAGGATTTGTCTGGATTACCATGGCTCAAGTGTGCGAAGTGCTGCCAGATGTTGAGCATCTGACAGAACCAGTCTTATAAGATACGAACAATGGTTATCCATAGGGAAAACTTATATGTTATACATGGAAAGACAAAAGGTGTGATCTTTCCCTATGTTATCTTGCCTCTTCTGTATCTTTAGAGCACCATGTTTAAAACACCATTAGTAAATGACCATCGTGCACCTATGAGAGGAGATGGGTCCAAGAGAATTCATTTTTTTTATGTTCAATTACGAACAGAGGCAAAGAAAAGACATGAAAGTCAGTGTTTCCACTTTGGGAATCTTGTTTATGCTCATTTGGAGCTCAGGTGTCAGCCACAACCTGGACGTGAAGGCTAACTGAGCGTTGGGACCAGGCAGGGTCACCAGAGAAGGGAAGTAAAACCTTCCAGTCCTATTACCCTATTCCCATACAAACTGTTTCTCCTACAGTTTGAAAAATGCCAATTAAAAAAAAATTACCATAAGAAAACTCTCCTCTAATCCTTGCAAACACAACTTGAGGAGATAAGTGGAAGAAACTTAGTGGAGGTGCAAAGAGATAAGTAACATGGGTCAGAATGCCACACAGCAAGTTGTACAAGAAGCGAGAGTGGTGGCGTGTTTCAGAGACTGACATGTTATAGACCTATATTTTTCCATACGCAATTAGCTCTTGAATTAGATCTCATTTTAGGCAGAATCATGATTCTTAATTGTGCAAAAATATACTCAGAACCAAGAAATTTATCCAAACTCGAAAAGAAAATTCAGGAAGAACTTGACAGGTGGTTTGTAGATCTGGATATAAATTAAACCCATCAAAATCCTAAATCTTATCAGCCAAACAAGATTCCCCCCACAAGAGGTTTGGGTTTTTTTAATTAAAAGCTCTGACAAACATGCACAAATTTACTTGTTCTTGGTGTTGATGCAACATGCAATATTCCATACATCTTGAAAAGGACTGTTTCACACACCATGGGATAATGGGTAATACAGATTATCTGTAAAAGAGTTTAAAAAGAAACAGAAGTACGGTTTATTTTTAATTGATTAAAAATAAGGATGCCTAAGATAGTATCATCAATATATATATCACATTATTAGCAGGTCGAAGGAGACGATCCTGCCCCTCTGCTCTCATGAGACCTCACCTGGAGTACTGTGTGCAGTTCTGGTGTCCTCAACATAAAAAGGACATGGAACTGTTGGAACAAGTCCAGAGGAGGGCCACGAGGATAATCAGGGGACTGGTGCACCTCCCATATGAAGACAGGCTGAGAAAGTTGGGGCTGTTCAGCCTGGAGAAGAGAAGGCTGCATGGAGACCTCATAGCAGCCTTCCAGTATCTGAAGGGGGCCTATAGGGATGCTGGGGAGGGACTCTTCATTAGGGACTGTAGTGATAGGACAAGGGGTAATGGGTTAAAACTTAAACAGGGGAAGTTTAGATTGGATATAAGGAGGAAATTCTTTCCTGTGAGGGTGGTGAGGCACTGGAATGGGTTGCCCAGGGAAGTTGTGAATGCTCCATCCCTGGCGGTGTTTAAGGTCAGGTTGGACAGAACCTTGGGTGAGATGGTGTCCCTGGGCATGGCAGGGGGGTTGGAACTGGATGATCTTATGGTCCTTTCCAACCCTAACTATTGTATGATTCTACGATTCTATTGGTTGCAATATATACTTGCTTAAGCTAAAGTTACTGATTATAGGGCAAATTTGTTTGAAAAGGGATACAGAAGTATACCTCAGCATCAGTTATACCTACTACAGCTCTTTAATAACCTGAGTGTGAAACTTTCCAGCAGCTGAAACCCACAACACAGTTGTTTTGCATGTAATTTGTTTCAGTTTTGATAATATAAAGTAGCAACCACTAAGAGAACAATGTTTAAGAACAGTAGCTTACATATGGGTAGAGCTTTCATTAGAAAGTGTTGGCACATACTGATCAAAGTGGCAGAACAAACCATGGTCCTTCCATTACTAATCTGAATTGTCTCAGAAATGTGCAAGGTATGCGCCTGCTGGGCGCTTGTTTATCTGCCACCTTCCACAGAAATAAAATTTAAGGTAAAATAGCATCTATACATAGATTCATGGTCCTTTCCAACCCTAACTATTCTGTGATTCGTAACAGAAAGTGAGAGATATACCTATGCAATGTACTGCTGGGGAGAAGATGACTTTCTCTCTTTTGAAGAATTAATAGACAGTTGCAATTTGCTTTTAACTAGTGATAATTCCAAGGTTCCATAAACAGTCATAGAATAGGCAGTCCAACAGAATTTTTTGCTGCCTTTGAATCATGAGAATTTTTGTCTCATGTTAATGAAGAGGGTTCCTAAATATCATAATTCAATCAATGCTGAGGAAAACATGGAAATACCATGTTGTAGACAATGCTGCACAGTGTTCTGCTTTCACTTCATATTCAGTTCTGGTTTGGGGCTATTAATAGTGTGAGAAGCTATAGTAACAGTATAAGCAAGCCAAAACAAAGCATCTTAACCACCACTGTACAATGAAGCAGTAGCATTATATCTGTAATCCACAAACTGATCATCAACACAGAACCTTTAAACTATGGCAGGAGAAAACCCCATAGCTTTAAGAAGTCACACTAAAAATGAATCCCAGGTGAGCACAGAAATATTTTATGTAGAGAATTCAAGTAGAAGTTTAAGGCAGCAACCCCCCTGCCTTGAATTTCCAAACACCCAAACCCCTGTGCTGTAATACAGTCAGTTTTAATTACCTTTCCCTCCAAAAATCAAATTACTCTTTCAGCCAATGAAGCCCTTAACTGGTAGCCAGCAATCCTGTGTCCGTCTTCATGTTCGAAATATTTACATTAGTAGGTACCAAAATACAGTGTTAACTGCTAAAATAACTGAAGCCCAGGCAACCAGTTTTATGCTATTGAACCTACCAAACACAAGTGCCTACAAAGGTAGTTTTCTTTGTCCACACATATCAGTCATTTCTGAAGAGCAGTGTAGTCTTTCCCCCCTGCAGGCAATGATAACAACATCCACAGAAATACAAAACTTCCTGAAGAGCAGTACAGAAATGAGTCCAAAGCTTAGTTATTTCTCAGCTGACAAATATACTAAGAGACAAATATGTGTAAAATCTTCCAAACCTGGAAAATCCATTTCACTATTAATACATGCATGTAAAAGAGTTTCTCATCATCAACACGAGTGCCTCTGAGACGTTAAGTGGAGGGTGCTCCTTCTGCAGCTTCCTGGAAGAGATTAGCTCTGAGGTTTCTGAAAGGCAGGTCTATGAAGTCCTCTGTTTCCTTTTGAAAACAGCCCGTGCAATCAGCAGCACAGAGGCAGAATGAGGTCACGCTTCCTGTGGAGTAGCCTCACATCAGAAGCATTCATTTTGAAGAGCGAACTGAAGATTAAGATTAGCCCAGTGAATGCTCTTGCAGGCAGTTGCAAACGAGAAGATACACTGAATAACGTTTCACTCCAATAATGATACAGAGAACAAAGAGAGAACCTTTTCTCACACAGTGACAAGGGTTTTTGTTTCAGCTTTCCATTTCTACCTCACTCAAAAAAGTCCCAAATCACTCTATTATTTGTTGAAATACTTGTGAGCCTGATGGGCTTTGATGTAAGAAAATGATCAAGGTATCAAAAAAAACCCCACGTATAATAATAACAAGGCATTTTGCAGAAGCATTATTATAGGGAAGATGCACTTGAGAGTTGAGAGTTACTTGTTTCATGGTCAAAAACATCATTGCAAATATATACCATGCAACATCAAGATAAATTGTCTTGAAAGGAGAAAGGAATAAAGCCATTTGTAAACATGCTCACTGTTCCACTCTAGGTGTTTCATACTATGCAAGGTAATTCATCACACCTTATCACATCACACCAGTACACAAAAATAAAGTCAAATCCACATAAGAGAAATGAAGCCTGAACAAGATGCCCTGGCAATCAAAATGATTTGGCTGTAGAACTTACACACAAAAGTAGTACAAATCAACTGCTTGACACTGAAGAATTACACAACCTCAGGGAGCAAAACTTCAAAACAAACAGGTGAAACATGCCAGTAGGTATCTCTCCTGATGTCTGTATGTAGCGCTGACAAAAAGAAAGCATAAATCTAGTAAAATATGATTTATTTGATTTAATGATAGGGTTGTTTTCCCTGGAGAAGGAAAAATATCTCCACTGATAAAATGTAAACATCTCACCTCACAGAAAAGGACACAAGAATAGGAATTAGGCAATTAGGATGTTACGAAAGACCTCCTGTTAGGGAGCTAAACTGGAATTAGTATTTTAAGGTCCTTTTGCTCAAATATGAAAACATGTTCTTCACTTCTTTTACTTTAGTAGAATTATGCCAATGAAGAAATTTAGTCCAACCCTATTTCCATGGATGCATGGGCTTCATTACAGCAGGATTTCCCTGGCCACCCTCTCTCTCAACAGGCAACGGACATAAATTCCCACTGGTCTTTGAAACTAGGTCACCTACTGAAGAATTTCTATGCATACACTAATTTACTTCTTGGGAGTATTTTGGGGTTTTGGTATATTTTGGTTCTTTTAAATTCTTCTCATCAGGAAGCAGTTCTGAGCTTGGGCTGCTGTTTTGAACAATATTGGTATTGCATGTTTGTCTATATAATTAAATGCATTGTGCCTACAATTTAAATGTCTATATAATTAAAATGTATTGTGCCTACATCATATTTAGACTTAGAGGTGTTTTCTTTTTTAATCACTACCATTCATATCTGAAACTCACTGTTCCACAAGCTTTTGATGCATAAACTTTGTGCATTAGTGAATATTTTACAGGTAGGCGTTAGACTATGTACCCACACAGAAAGGTTTGTATACAGCTTATGTTTCTTGCTTTTCCTGTCGTGCCTCAAACTGCCCATCCCACCCCACCCCATCAGATTTCAAATTCTAGGAAATGAACACACCAACAAGCTTGCTGTGCAGTAGTTTCATGCCTGTTGCATACGTTACAAGCTCAACCCACAAAAGTAAGGAAATGAAAAATTACAAAACTAAATGCCATCTATCTTTCTACACTTGTCCCAGGCTTACTCTACCTCTGATACTACAAATAAAAGAGAAAGCATATTACCAGTGATCTTTCAAGGCCAGGTTGGACTGCGCTTGGAGAAACCTGCTCTAGTGGAAGGCATCCCTGCCCACGGCAGGGGGTTGGAATTGGATGAGCTTTAAGGTCACTTCCAACCCAAACTGTTCTATGATACACACATCATAGGTGAGTACAAGGTGGGTCCCTCCAGCAGCTTGGCTCAGACACATGGTCTGCCCTATAGCTGCCCCTGGATCTCCCCAGTTGCTGGCACCTGGACATCTGAGCTCTCAGGGCCACAGTCCAACTCCAGTTGCTATTGCAGACCATCACACACAGCTGGTCAAGATTCCCATGGTCCTCAGCAGCCCCCTCCCTATGGCATCACCCTTAGAGACACCCTTGTCTCATGTCCCCAAGCAGCAACTCCCCTCACTCCCAAAGGTTCTATGGCATTGACTCATCTGAGTGGGCTTCATTCCTGTACACAGGGGTTGTGCCTCCTCTGGGATAGGCCTTGGAAGGACCAAGGCAGAGCATCCCTTCTTCTAAGTCCTTAATTTAGTTTGCCCCTGCCTTTGTGCCCTGGTCCTCCTCTGGACTGATGCAGAAGGGCCCTTGATGGGCTGATGGCTCCTGGGATGGGCCTGGAAGCAGCTGGGGCAGGTTATTATTTGAGCTACCCCTCCATCTGTTGTCTTTCTGTGCTCCTTTGTGGGTGTGCAGATGAGCTTTTAGCCCACATTACACCACAATCCTGCCATCTCAGCAACCGGCAGCAATTCAGTGCCCTGCGCTATTATGCTAAACACACAGTTCTCAGAAAAGGTATTTTGTGTGGTAGAGTGAATTGAGTGGCCATGATGGAGGGAGTAGAGTGCTTATTGATTGAGTGCAATTGAGAG